AGGTTGTCACATTATGAGGACCAAACTGAAGATAGTACTGGAAGAAAAGCCAGTGTCTGTTTCTGATGCATATGATGAGAAGTGAGCAGATCTCCAGCTGAAGACTTAATGAGTGTCGGTGATCGTGCTTCCAGAAGGTCATGAAAATACGAACCATATTCCGTTGATTAAAAGCGGATAATATGCGTCCTTATAAACGGAAGCTTTGACTGAAAGAGATGCTTCCTACTGTGTTTATCTGAAGGGTTGCTCAAAAATCATGCTGAGTCAAACGGCCTTTATAGAATTTAATAAAGACTGGGTGTGTTTTACAGCTAACAAAACAGTCTGGAACAAAACATTGACTTTCTATTTTAATGGTGAGTGAGAGTCATAAAAAATCTAAGGCACCGATACGTCCCCAGAACATAATGGCATCCGATAGTCATTATTGCATCAAAATCTAATAAAAGCTGCAGTACGGTCAAACTTTTTCCAAGATCATTAAAGTCTAATCAGCTTAGATTAAAGCAAAAGATGTGTAACTGGCGGCTGTGAGCTTGTCAATAGAGAGTCTGCATTGCATCAGTAACACTCAGGTGTCCATGGAAATCTCCATTATAAAGGAGCGACTTTTCAGTGAGAAGGCCTGAATTTCATCTGTAAATGGAAAGAGCAGGTATTAAACAAAAACTAAGGTAACATTTCATTTATGTTCATTTATACCATTTGTATAAGCCTTTAAATAAACATTAACTAATCACAAAACCTCAATAACAAATTCATAAGCCTAGTTAAGGGCTAACCAATCATTTGCGAAACCTTAATAAACATTTGTAAATGAAGGGGGGAAATGATCATAAACGAATCATTACTAAATGATTACTACACCTGTATTTATTGATGAACAAATTCTTTACAAATTCTTAATCATTTGTAATCATTTAGTAATAATTAATGATTATTGATTAATTAGTAATGATTAATTTATTGATAATTTGGGTATGACTTTCTATGAATGTCCTGTCTATAAGAATCTATGAACACATTCATAACACATTATCTCCATGTGTATAATGCACTATCGTTACCTTCAAAATGCAGTGCAAAGCACACTTAATGCTTATACTGACCATTGTAATGCATTATGAAGGTATCTAGAGTGAATTATAGAAGCAAACTTCAATGGAGCTTACGAAGTATTATAATCAATGCTATAATGCCCTATGACTGCCAATAGATGATGCTGTAATGCTTTACTAATTCTTATACCAAACATTATAATGCATTATGAAGCTATCTGTAATGCATTATATATGACAGCTTTATGTAAAGTGTTCAAATCTTTTTAATAATTTACAAATGTTTAAGGTTTTGCAAATGATTTGTTAGCCCTTAATTACATGCTTATAAATATCTTATTAAGAATTTGTAAATGATTTGTTCATTACTAACTACAGGCTTATAAATGTCTTATTAAGGTGGTGTAAATGATTGATTAATGTTTAAAGGCTTGTATATGTGGTATAACTGAATATTATTGTAAAGTGTTACCAAAATTAATTTGGAGTACAGCTGCCCACTTGATCGAGAATTCAGGACACAATCTTGTGCAACGCATAACCCCCAGACCTGCAGTGAGGAGATATTTACAGAGAGCTGAGATTTTCTTCTTGATGAATCTGCATATCTCTCCCGGCCCCTTCCAAGTCAGTCCTGATTACAGCCTTTCATGTTACTATTATAAACTCATTCACTGACAATTACATTGTCTTGTGTTAAGAAAAAAAATCCAGTGTGTCAGACAGAGAGCTCAGTGACATATTAAAGTGAATTCTAGACACTGAATCAACTAAATATAAATTAAGCACCAGAACAAGTTTTATAACAGAGGGGAGGTGAGATTCATTGACTTTTATACTTTGACATTTCATAGATGAATTGTCATGATAATATAAATGTGTCTTATTTAAACCTTCTTATTTGAATGTATTAATTGAGCAGATTTGCTCAGCTGTGCACATGAGGTTGCAGGTGGTGAACCAGTCCAGGGTTTACTGTGAAGTCTGTCTGCTGGGATTTTCTCGGGGACCTTTGGTTATTTCTATAAAAGATGCACAGTCCACCTGAACGCCCTGTAATGGATGGAAGGATGGATGGAGATCGAAATATCAAGTATAATGTTGATGATATGCAAGGAACATCCTATTAAATTACACACAGTTCATCTGCAGCACACCCATGAAGAAGATGCTGCTTTTGACTCCTTAATAAGCTCTTTCGATTAGATAGATAGATATATATATAGATAGATAGATAGATAGATAGATAGATTTCTTCTGTGCCAAGCCTGATTAAAAGTAATCTACACATGTACGCACATATACACACATACATACCTACACATGTAATAAATATATAAAAACCAACATCTAAAACAATAATGAAAATAAAAGCATCTCCTAAATCTTATTGCACGAATTGTCCCATTATTGCATATTTACTGCAGCTGAATGTAACACAGTGGGGGGGGGGGGGGGCAGTGTTTAGATTTATTCAGCTCACTTATGGCCCTTGGAAAAAAGCTGTCCTTAAATCTGGAGGTGCGGACTTTGAGAGCTCTGTAGCGCCTCCCAGAAGGTAAGAGAGTAAACAGACGATGGCAGGGGTGGGTTGCATCTTTCGCGGAGTTAATAGCTCTACGGAGGCATCGGGTTCTGAAAGTGTCCTCCAGAGACGGCAGGGTGAGTCCGACGGTCCTTCCAATGATCTCCCATGTGTATTTAATTTGCATCAAAGTCCTGCTTCAACTTGAGGTCTAACAAACAGTAATGAAAAAGCAAGTGAAAATGTTCCAGCCCAGTTTTGGGAAGTATTCATCTATCAAGCCAGATCACTGTGTAAGTAAGTATTCCTGCCTGCATTTGATGTGTTTTTCAGGATAAAATGCAAAAAATTACAGCATAACAGCCTTTGTAATGTAATCATATAAACCAAGGTCTCCCAGATATTGTGTAATATTCAGGATTATCCACAGCATTCATTTGCCTTTTAAAATGGAATAATGCTCTTCCATTTATGACATCGTGCATAATTCTTTCTCCATAATGCACCCTGTATTTTTATATTATTGTCCCATAATGGAAGAATAATTCCTCCATTGTGAGGGAAATGATCATGAGTGAAAAATGTAAGATTTTAGGGGCGGTTACTCAAAACGATGGCCAAAGTGTAGGTGTGATACAAATGTTTTAGTGAAAGTAGTTTTACTGGTGTCATAGAATGGAGAAATTTGGCATAGAAATGTTCCTTAATATTTGGTGGATAAATTACCAAAATATGGGAATGAGAGATAATTAAAAACACAATTAAAACTAGGTGGAAGTCCAGTCACTGCAACGAACAGAAAACTTACTGAAAGGTAATAAAAACCTGAATGAGGTCACTCCCTGGGTGTGCACCATCAGGTGTCCAATCAGGACAGGGAGTTGAGATTCAGAGAGTTCTGGAGACTGGAGAATATTTGGTGACCAGTCATCACTAATACTTATGAAACCTGAATCAAGGAGGGCAAGAGCTGGATCAGTAAACAGAGAAGCTGCATTACCTGAAGCAATATGTTTGCTCATTTGGTGAGTACTTAGGGGGACACAAATACTTATTAGATATTCAGTTACTACTGAAGTACAAATCATGAATAAATATAGTAGCTACTTGTGTTGTTCCTCATTTGTTCCTTCAATAGTTCAAAAAGGCTTACAAAATTAACAGATATAGTAACAAATATAGCAACTGCTTGAGATAAAAGATGCGTGACGATTCATTCATGGTGAACAAACACAAAATGAGTATTTCATTTGTGTTATTCATTACTTGTTCCTTCAGTATTTCACAAAGGTTTGCAAAATTAACAGATATAGTAACAAATACAGTAATTGCTTGACATAAAACATGTATCACAATTCATTAATGATGAACGAAACTGAGATCAGTGTGTAACAAAGACTTAGATTGTGGTTAATTAATACACATGTAATAGCATAATCCTATATTATTGGTGCTCCCTCAAGTAAAGTGTTACTAATCAGGTTACTCATTACAAAACAGGGTACAATCAAACAATACAAATGTAATATTGTTCTTTCAGTTTTATACTGGTTGTGCATTAAAACCAATAGATATTTGCACAATCTGAAAAACTTTATTCGGCAACCGTGTCAGTCGATCACCTGGAAGATCTCTACGAGACTTCAATTTCTTTTCACCTTTTTCTAAGTAAATATTTAATTTGCTCACTATTTGGGTTCAGGACAAAAACTGAAGGGCTTCATCCCTGTGAGGTCCCTGCCCTTCATGTCACTGCCCTGCTTGGCCAGCAGGTGTTGCTGGTCATCCAGTTCCCTCCTATACCCTTGTGTGTTTCCCTGGCTCCCAGGACCCCCATGTAGCTCAACGGGCTGACTGTGTGGTACAGAAGCTGTAACCCTGCAATCATGGATTTGAGGCCAGCCTCCCCTATTTTGTTTGTTTATTGGGTTTCTGTTTTTCCTAGTGTTTAGTCCTTTGCTTCTCTGTTTTGGTGTATCCTTAGTTTGGTATTGATTTGTTTATGTTCTGTTTTACTTGTTTCTTGATTTCTCTCCTAGTGTAGTACCTCCCTGTTTTTCCTTAGTTCCAGGTCCTGTAAGTTCCGCTGTTTCAATTTATAGTTTTGTTCCTGGTCTTGCTTTGTTCTCTTACCTGTTCTTTAGACTTCATAGTTAGTCCTTGTTAGTTCATCATCATGGTTTAGTCTTATTTAGTTGTTTAACTCAGTATTTCCTTGTCGGTTTATGACAACATGGGGTCCTTTGCTTTTGTATTATTGTTTTGTTAATAAATCCCATGTTTCTTAGAGCCTACATTCCACATGCGGCATGCCACGCCGCCATAACAGACCCCAGATCAGATGGCTGACTCCTGTCTGCCTGTGATACACTTTCAGATCAGAGACATGTCGTTGTGGCCTGGCTATGAGGAATGCCCTGCTCTTCTCTCACCTGAGAAAGTGAAACCTTCCCCAGGACACTGCACTGTGGAATTCAATTATGGACTCTGAGTAGCCGCTATTCAGTGTGCTGCTTTCAAACAACATGTAATGATAGAATTCCATCGGAAGATGAGAGGCATCCATGTCCAGAGAGAGAATTTCTCGAGGTAAGAGACAGCCAGGAGTGTCTGTATCCCTGCTGCAAGCAGCCAGACCTCTCACCACCTCTACAAAATCAAAAAAGCGCTTCCTCAATCAGTTCCCGTTCTTCCCAAATTAACAGGCCCCAACAGGATTCCTGTGGGGAGACAATTGATTGGAACATGTCACAGTCACCATGCAGACAAGCTGGCTGGAGATGTGATTAACGGGCAAACATCCCGTCTGCTCGGCAGAAACGGTGCTCTGATCTTCTTCCTGTCATTGTCTACAAGCAAAATGTCTTCTTCATGTTTACTTGTGAGGCTTCCTAGTTTTCTCCTCTTTCCAAAAGCACTTAAAATACTTATGCTTTACAAGGTTTTCCTTAAAGTCACTTTCTTATTTGCAGATGATCCACCTCAGAAGAGCCTCACAGATGCCCGCACCTCCAACGGTGCCGTGAGCCTGTCCGGCCTGCAAAGCACTGCCACCTACATATCTCAGTGAACCGATGTACTGCAAACAGGAGCCTGAATACCACCCTGCTGAATACATATTTTACTCCACTTGCTAAAACTTCCTTTTTTACAAAGATAAATACATGCATAATTCTTTTAAGCTTTTTGACGCAGATACTTTGTACCTCAAATCATCTTGTGCAATACTAGAGGCTTAATTTTACACAACATGCTGATATGTTTACATTTTATGATGACATTATATTTATCATGACGTTTTGTGACGGCCTGCCTGAGCTCCTTTCTCCCAGCTGCCATTAGTGTCTCCCCTGACCCCCTCATTCAGTCACCACCCCTTCAGATTATTATTATTATTGTACTTTTATTTTAAACACATGTTGCACACTGCACATTGCACTATATGCACATTGCACTGTATGTGGGTTAATTTCATGCTGTGTATAGGTATAGTGTTGTTCAGTATTGCATTTGTTGAATAGTCTTGTGTCTTTTCCTATTGTATATGTACAGTTTGATGTTACTTTTTGTGTACACTGCCGTAGCTCTTTTGGAATTTCCTTCGGGATCAATAAGGTACTACTACTACTAATATTAATACTATAATGACATTTTATCATACTTTCAAAATTTTACTATCACATTATGAACTTCACATCTATAGGTGAATTCCAGAGAATGATCATTCTATCTTCTGTCCTGTTCAGGTTCTGACCTCCATGGAATATTAAAAGCACAAACTAGAAGAGAAAGCCGCTGAGCAGCTGACAATCAAACATCGTTCCAAGGTCAAAGTGGGCGTCGTGTCTTTCCAGCGAACACGCCATCATTCTTTTCATTAGTGACATTTCACAAAGCGGATGTAGCGGCAGAGTATGGGGACACCAGACCTTCCGGACAGACAAGGCTGGGAAGAATGAGCGCCTCATTCAGGCTAATTGTTTTATTCTTTATTGTATAAACGATTACAGCACTCACCCAAGCAAAATGGGAGACACTTGTCTTCATTTTCATTATATTCAACATACAAAAGAGACGTCCAAGACAAGCCACTCCATGCAGAATTGAGTGCTCACATCTCTTACATTTGAAATACTCCAGCTGAATCTTGCTGGGTTCATATTTACATAAACACGCAAAGCTTAGTCTCCTGTGTTTCTGCTAGCTTGTGGTACTGGTCCTTTGGAAAACAGTAAATAGAAGGACGGCCTGAGCAATATCTCTCTCCTTACTTTTTACTCTGTGATTCTGAGGACAGGCTCCAGTTCTGTCTCACGTCTGGGGAAAATGGACACATATATCTCTGACTAACTTTGCATGACACTAAAGACACTGAGCGGCATTGTCTGTCAGCAAAACCATGACTGACAGAGAACTTTACAATAATCTACCTTTAAAATCTGATCATTGCCAGTGTATGTATGTAGGTGATAATCCTCTCTTTTAAACAGTCTTACTCATTTATGGTGTGTTTTTATGAGTCTCACTGAACCACTATGAATTTCCATGATTTGCCACAAGGACTCAAGCTCTGTTTGAGCAGTGAAACAACACTGCCCCCTGCAGTGGAAAAGTTACTGGAAGGCCTTTCGTTTCATAAGCAATTTATGAGACATTTTATGGGAAAGAACCATAGTGACAGTACAATACAGCATACTATATTTTATAGTACATATTTAATTTATGGAGCAGACACCTTTATCCAAAGTGTTCCTTTTTTTGAGCAAGCAGGGTCAGTCAGTCCCTGGAGGAATTGGAGGCTAAGGACCGTATAACAGTGACATCACTATGCCAACCACTGGATTTGAACTGGTGACCTCTGATCACATGCAGAGTGTCCTGAAGCTCTGGGCCACACACTGCTCCACTGTACATTTCACACATGAGGAGTAATGTAGAGACAGTTATATTAGATTTATATATTGCAGCTTGCCAGTGAGGGGTGCAGTGCGATGGCTGCGGAAGGCCCTTGTCCTGGGTCTGGAGTGGGTGTTACGGACTCTAAGTGAATGAAGACACCCACTTAGGCATGCTGAGGAGCTTCCTGCTGTGGCACCATAAGTGGGCAGCAGTATGTTTTCATGTGTGTTTAACAGGCATGATGCAATTGTGTATTTGCAAGACAAGCACTGGAGTACTGCAGCTTGACGGTGTGATGGGAACAAATCTTATTAGAAGCCCTTATCCTTCTTTGGTGGCTGGGAGGCTCCGCAGCCCTCACAGCAGGCTCTGCATTCATGCGGGACCTCAATGCATTGATCAGTCCAGTTGGAGCGCCATAGGTTCATATTTAGCTTAGCTGTCAGGCAGTTGGGTTACATGAGGGTGACTGCCATCAACACATTGTCTTGGAATGACATGTCGATTTTGTGAAAGGAATTAACGAGCATCAGTACAGCGAGTGCTTCAAGTGCACTATTAACCCCAAACCCTCCTACTTCACAGGGAGTATCACTGTGAGATTCTGACACTGCAAGTTCCTTTATAGATACCACCGGTATATTGGTTAACTAATACCAAGGGCTCCTGACTGGCACCAGCAATGATCTAGTTAACCAGTATTCCAATGAATGTCTGTTTTAAAAAGTCAATACACCAGACTATAGCATACTTAGGGTGAATGCTCCAGTTGCTATGCTGGTGTTCTGCTTCTAAGTTATTATCATAATCTGACAGTATGTGCAGGTGTGCCAAGGTGGTCCTATGCCAAGGTTAGCAATCATGAATTTACCCTCAGCCTGCAAACACCCCATTAAGCTCACAGAAGATGCAAAACCTGTATGATGTCCTACTCAAATCAAAAGCCCAAAGGAATTACAGCAGGCTATCTTGTGTTCAGGATCAGACTCTGAGACCAGCACATAGCCATCGATTCCACGTAACATGGAAATTCATAGGAATAAGTTAAAAGATACTCGAGTCCAGCTAGCAGTAAGTATCCTGAGAAGTGTTATGTTAACAGGAAGATATACATGAGTACTGTGGGAGCATTATTTTCCCTGATAGCTATTCCACTCTGCAGCTGTCTAATGCAAGTTTCATTTGTGTGGTGCATCCTATCAACAGCTCAATCAAGTCAAATTAGCTAAGCTCTCAAGTGGACCTAACAAGCACATACACATGAGGAGTCGGACTGAGCCATCCAGAGCTGGGAGTGTCCCAGTAAGGCACCAAACCATGGCACTAAACTGGGTCCAAGGGGACACCCAGACAGGAGGGAGCAAAAATGTGGACTGACTGTCAGGGAGCTGGGAGGGAGCAAAAATGTGGACTGACTGGGGGTCCCTGAAAAAAATAAACATTTGCCAGATCTACTTCTGACTAATGTAATTGTAAAAACGTCAGCAAGTTAAAGTTATACAATAAAAATAGTCAGTCAAGTTGCTAGAATGGTGTATGAATTCTTCTGCACTTCCTTCAAAAATTTTGCTCAGACCCCACTGATAATCAAAGATAATTTTGTAATGTACAAGGCTTTGTAATGTGCAAATAGCCAAGCGAATATGGAAAAGCGATAATGGATTTATGTATTTTATAAACGTACATGGTGTTTGATAGAAGCAAAGCATAGAGGCTCACCTCCTAGCAGGGAGACGGTATTAATTACGGATTTAATGGCGATGTGCAGTTTGGAGAGAGTACCGGAGCACCAAGGGACTCGAGGTAGGGAGGGATCAGTGTGATGCAGCTTGGAGTGATTTTAGTGTGGGGGATGTGTCACTGGTAACTGGTTAGGGCTGCTGGCAGGGAAGATGGGTAATGAGAAGTGACCGATCACCGAGGGTGTGAGGAACCACAATGACACCTTGATTCTTTCCATCTGAATGTTTCATTTTGTGAATGAATTCTAACGTTAAAATGCTGATTTTTTTTATATGGTAATTTAAATGTTTATATTGTTTTGGGGGCAGGACACCAACTACTCCCAGGGAGGGGGAAGGAAGGGGAAGGGGGGGGGGGGCTTTCAGGGGTCAGAGACACGAGCGAATAGTGAAATGGACGGGTTTCTCCCCGGCGTCCCTCCATGGATAGCAAACCACAGCAGGTTAAACTAAGAACAAGATGTTCAGGAAGAGCCACAGATTGGCAACAATCCTGGCCACAGGGAAGAAAAAGACAGAACAATTAATCTGATGTTTTAAGTGGTCCTTGTTAATCACCTGACACCCTTATTTGGCCACTCAGAGCGCAGAAAAGTACTCAGAGCAAATAGAATAAAACAGCAGAAAGAGAAGCCCTTTATATCCGACTGATTAAGACCATTAATCTCCCGGCATTTTCACGCTGACTCAGCCGCCCCTCTCTGGCGATGTCGTTTTTTTCTATGAAGTTATTATCTTTACAGACAAATAATTTGAAAAAAAAGCAATCAGGAAAAATAATGAACTAGGCAATGATGGCAATAATGAAGTGAGACAAAGAGGTTAAAGAAATTTGTACCATGGCGCTTGATGCGTTTCTAATTTATCGTATTTATAAATTTAGGTCCTGCGTGTGAATCCGCAGCATCCACAGCGCCCATGTGACAATGCATGTGGTGATAATTAGATGCATAAAGCCATGGAGGGTGACACTGAAGAACACAACAGTATTCCTCCACCCGAGACACTATCAAAGACCCCCACACCGCAGGCGTGATCCTCATCCGCAGCCTTGGATCATCTTTATGCTGCTCCCAGATGTGAGGGAAAAATACAAAACGTACTTGAGAATTGAATAGGCGGGATACACCGATTTTAGTTACCTCCAAACCTGACAACCCTGCTCTGATATAACTCTCTCCCCCCGTTTTTAGGGTACAGCTCTTTGTCATTCCTGTTTTGCTACCCAGACACTATGATCCAGAGACAGCATCCATTCAGGCAGAAATTAATGCAGCACGACGTCGCCGTCCAGCACCTTACAGGCAGTGCGGTCTGGGTCCTCCGCTCTGTCGGCACGGAACAGCGGCGATGCGGCCGGTTCTTCGTTAATCGGGAGACCGTGCCTGGCGGCGGACCGGCTCCACTCTCGCATGCCTCAAGCAGCCGGTGTCAGCTGACGCCCTGTCCGGCTTCGCTGATGTGGTCAGCCCGAGGCCATGTGACCTGCCCATGTGTCCACTCACGCCGCCCACCCACCACCCCACATCCTTATCGGGAAGGGCCCTGCTGCCTTTCTCCCCAGCCCGCCTGCCCCCGGGTCAACATATACTGATGGGCACTTCAGAGAGGCCTTGGGGAGGCTGCATGGAGGAGGGGGAGGCCAATGCGGCCCTATCACAGTATCATGCAGCCAGTGCCCTCACCAGAGGGTGTGGCCTCAGCAGGGGGGGCGGGGCAGCCCTCAAAATGGGCACATCACCATCCAGATAGCTGTTAAGATCCGTACGGCAAGGGTGAGTCTTACCGAACCATGTGACCCATCCTTACAAGCTGGGAGGCTCACCAAGTCACTAACTGAGTGACCTTTAACTGCTCTAATTGCACCAATCTGTCATATTTAGCACTGATTTCACTGAAATTCTGGTTTGTTTGCCTTCCTCTTAGACTCTGACCTTTAATATCTGCCAGTGACTTTATTATAAGCAGGAACATGCAGCCTGTCACATCTTGGCTGCCGCATCTGCCTGACTCTCTCGTCTCTTCCCTCACGTGGCCCTGATGGCCACACCTGACGCTTGTTGTACCTTATTAGTCTCGGATAAAAGTACCTGTTTGTCTCGACCTTGCTAGTCCAGTCATTGACATCGTACCTCCGTATTCCCTGTGCCCTGCCTCACTTCAGTCCTACTGTTTTGATCCCCCACGATCTTGTTTATTCCCTGTTTATGTGCTGTGAGTTTAATAAAACCCCTTTTGTTTCACCTCACCGCCTGCCCTCGAGTCCTTCATCCTTTGCAATGTGAGACAGAGAGTTTTGATTTAAAGGAGACACCAGAAACAACAGCATTGAGGTCCCTTATGAAAGAAATGCAATGATATTGTTAAACCAACACCAGCCACTCAAGAGAACCAAAGATAGTGAGAAAAATGCCGGATGTTCTGCTGGCAAACCCAGTGAGGGTGGGTAAGAATCCCAGGCTTCCCTTTTATTGTAATCTTCCAAGCTGCTGTAATACACTCTTATCAGCATAATCTCTCTGCAGTTTGGAGTCATTTTGTGAGGAAGGAGAAGATAATCCGTTTCCCCAGCAGGCACTAGGTCGGTCAACTGGCTGCTCCTCCGTTTTAA